TGCCGGGAGACACCGGCCCGGAGGGAGGAGGAGACGGGTAGGGGGGCAGGGCGAGGGTACGACCTGCCGGGAGACACCGGCCCGGAGGGAGGAGGAGACGGGTAGGGGGGCAGGGCGAGGGTACGACCTGCCGGGAGACACCGGCCCGGAGGGAGGACGAGACGGGTAGGGGGGCAGGGCGAGGGTACGAAGGCTGTCTGGCGCGTCCTGCGGCTTTGTTAGCAGTGATGGTAAATGTGAATAATTCAAGGCAAAGTGTGTCTCAGAGGCAGAGTAAAAAAGGGTTCTAATCTGTTTAAAGAACATTGCTGAAATCCTGCCGGTGAGAGACCGGGAGGAGAGTTACCGGTGACTGGAACTCGCTTGTGTTTACAAACAGCCCCCACTTCCCCTCCACTCCACCCCAGGGCAGGGTGCACACTCACCATCTCTCCAAAATCGGACGACTCAAAATCAGATAGAATCGTATCGATGTCAACCTTGGGAGAAATTACCAAGAAATAACATGTCAGTAAGACCGTGTCTCAGTTAAACATGACAGAGAATAAATGGGGCAATTAGCAAGTTTTAAATATTTCAGCCTGATCAGCCTAACTTTTATGGACCCACACATCAAATCTTACTTTTCCTCATAACCATAGCAACAGTGCCAGACAGGACACACATCCATACCAATCAGTACATTAGGGGTCTATTAAGGAGCCATTAACAATGAGAAGCTACCCTGAGCACAATTTCTCAGTGGAAATGTGTGTAATCAGGAAATGTGTGGTTTAAGTTTCTGGCACATTGGGATCAACAGAAATGTACAGTACAGCTAATGGGGGCCGACAGCGCCATAGGGAACAAACCACAAAATGGGTCTATTTGGTTTTATTAGGAGCAGTTTAACCAGCAGGGGGCAGCAGCATCACAAAACGATTCGTCTGGTCTTCATTCTCCTTCCTGGCAATTTTTGTTTTTGTTTCGTGTGGGAAATTAAACCAAAACTATGAAGATGTTGTGCAAATACCAGAAACAGAAAGGCTGCCAATGCGATTTGGACGCCGCCGTTTGTGAATCTCACCTTGACCTCAGGGGGCAGTGTGAGCCAGCGTACGGCCGGCAGCCCATCCAAGAAGAGGGCGCCCGCCGCATCCGGAGTTGGGGCCCCGGGGCTATCGATCAGCCGCTGGAAGAAGAGGGAGAAGAAGCAGTCCAGCCGAGGGCAGTGCTCCTCCTCGGAGAAGGCCCTGTGGACAGAGAGGAAGTTACAGTCAGGGGTGCAGGTCACATGACTGATTAAAACACCCAGAGAGGGTGCCAGCATCAGGGGTCAGGGGTCAGAACTGACCCGGCGACGCCCTGCAGGCAGATTCCAGGCCGAAAACCACACCGATCCCACAATCGTCAGTGGAAAAATGACCATTTTCAGCATCTTCCGTTCCAAGTTTCAGTCAACACTCAGCAGACACATACAATAGCCAGCTTCACAAGAGAGTCCTCATGTTTAACATTAGCAGGGATTTACAGGAAAACGAAAAATGGATACAGGTGACACGTCGTAAGATATGCACCAAAGTGTAGAAATGTTACACACAGAGAAAATGGTAATGAATACGAGATCAGGCAGTCTGTAAAGACAGCAGTAGATCAGAGGGATACTGGAGAGGCCAAAGGGTGAAATCTTTCAGGGGAAATTAATGCAAGCTCTGTTCAAGGTAACAAGTCTCCTCTGTCATTATGTAGTGATGAGTAACATTAAAACACCACCGTTTATATGTAGGGCTACCCTTTAATGCTGCCATGTAAAACCGGGCAAAATTGACAGGAAATTTCATTGGATTGCCCTGGATCTGAAGCGCTCTGGTTAAGTTTCACACAGTCAGTGGAATAGACTTGCCTGTCTAATGAGCCGTACATCACCCTGAGGGTCCGCACCAAGTTGGCGATGACGGTCTTCAGGTGCAGGAGGGGGACCCTGGGACACAGGGACACAGGGGGGATGAGCTGCCGGTACACGGGGACGGCCTTTTCGGGACGAGAAGCAAGCAGATGGCAGGACGAGGCCTCCGCTATGGCCTCCCCCTAACGGAACATTTAGAGACAGGCCGGGGGGGGGGGTGACGTCCTGCTGTAAAGGACCGGGAGCTAGACGGGGACACGGTGAAGCTCAGAACACTGCGCCACTCATGAGGGCTCCGCCCACCTGTCTGCGGGCAGGCCGACGACCAGCAGCCTCTCCCCTTCCTTCCAGTAGCCCACGTGCACCAGATGCTGACTGAGCAACAGAGATGAGCTGTGGGGGAGAGGGGGGGAAATCAGGCATCATAGGCCTCCTGATTGGACCAAACAGGCGGAAGACGTTCCACAGTAATGGGGAGTCAAACGTCGCACATTATACAAGATAAGATATAACTTAACCCATGACATCTTACACAAACCTATACAACACAGGTCAGCGCCAGGGCTGGGTGATACAAGATAAAAAATCTGATGTATTTGATACATTTTTACATACAAAATGGCTTTATAATGTATCGAAATAATATTCTGGAAAATTTTCACAGGTTCAGAACAGACCATAGTACTGAGTCAGCTCTTCTTAGAGTGTCCAATGACCTTTTACTGTCTGTCAACTCAGGTAGCCTTGCTGTTCTTATTCTGTTGGATCCATGCACTGCTTTTGATACAGTTGATCATGCTGTTCTCCAGCTTGGTATCCAGGGAACTGCATTAGAGTGGTTTAGGTCCTTCTAATTGACAGATCTTTCTCAGTTAAGATTGGAAACTTCTCCTCCTCTGTGGAACCTGTCATCTCTGGAGTACCGCAAGGTTCTATTTTAGGCCCAATCGTATTTTGTATTTAAATGCTTCCTTTAGATCAGGGCTATTCAATTCAGGCCCTCGATTCCAAATCCAGGCCTTGTTTTCAGTTCTCCGAGGTAGCTAGTGTAATAATTACTGATTCTGATTGGTCAGAGGCTACACACCTGGCTCACAGGTGAAGGAAGGCTAGAAAATCAGCAGGGCTCGGCCCTTGAGGACCGTGAGTTGAATAGCCCTGCTTTAGATCAATCTTTTCCAAACCATAACATCTCATCACTGCTACGCTGACGATACTCAGTTTTACCTCCTACTGAGATCAAATGATGACGGTTCCTTGGTGTCTCTGGTTAAGTGCTTTACAGACATTAAAGACTGATGGCAAAAAACTCTCTTCAGTTAAATGAGAGTAAGACTGAAGTGAGGTTAGGAGGGCCAAACAGTATAACAGCCAACTTTAGGAAGGAGATAGTTCCTCTATCCATAAACAAGTACAGATATGTGAAAAATCTTGGTGTCATTTTTGATTCTGACCTAAAATTTGATAAAAAGACAAACCCAGTAGTGCGAGCTAGCTTCACATAAGGCACATAAGAAAATGTAAATATTTTCTCTCTTGTAAGGATTTGGAAATTGTCATTCATGCTTTCATCTCTTCAGGAATTGGTTATTGCAATGCCCTTTACTCTGTTATCAGTCAGTCATCTCTCTTCCGCCTGCAGCTCATTCAGAGCGCAGCCACAAGATTCCTAACTTGCTGTGCCAGAAAAACTAACGTGGTGTACACATGCTTAAAGATGCCACCCATGAGTAGAAATGGGAAGTACACATCAGGCAGGTGGTAAAGGTCAGGGGGTGACCCCCCCCTCCCCCACCACAATTTTTTTTTTAGTTTTTTTTTTATCTATGTTATGTTATATTGTTACGTTCAGCAGAGATACACTTTTTATGTTTTCCATTTGGGAAACATTGATGTGAATAATTAAAACCTGTCCTGACTTTTAAAAAGTATTTTAGAGAAATTTTATTAATTTTGAAACAGTGCCCTAAAATTTGGAGATACTGATTTTCAGCCCGAGTCCGCGTTGGCTATTTAGGATACAGCCTGTAGCCCTGCACATAGGCACCCCAGCACCCCCCCAAGCGGGCCCCGCTCTGGGCTCCCCCAGCTCCATACCTCACGATCCGTCCCCCGGTGACGCTCCCCAGCATGTCGCAGAGGGTCAGGAACACCCCCCTCACCCCTTTGAGTTGTGTGGATGCCTGAGTCGTGGGGAATTGGTACAGAATTTCCTGCTGTGGGTGGGGGGAAGGGTGAGGGGGGCAGAGAGACGGCAGATTGATTTTTATCCAACCGACATGTCTAATATCGCAGCTGTGACAGTCAGAATGATTGACAGTCAGGGGGGGGTGTTGGCCCGAGTTCAGACATGACCTCCTCTGTTCACCTCTAACTGATATTCGATAATATAAACTGTGCTGCTTCTCTGTCTGCACCCGGACCTGGAAGTCTGACCCCATGCCTTTGGCTAGATACCCCCCCTTTTACTGAAGCAGCCAAGTTGGCTGACTGTTAAACTCCAGCAAGTCTCCACCACACAGACAGAGACCCAAAATCAGACAGACATGGACAGAGAGACACCCACACACACGCAAGCACACACACACACACACAGATATAGAGAGAGAGACGCACACACACACAGATATAGAGAGAGAGACGCACACACACACAGATAT